TGAACCCCTTTGACTGTTGATCGAGCATATGTAGCAACTTGATGGCCGAGTTGAACAAAGTACTTGTGTTTCAGGCATATATGAATATGAATATTTGGACCAAGACTAAAATTAAGATGAAATCGCCCCGTGAAGTACAGGGATCGCGATGAAAAAGTGGAACTAATAGGAGTGTATTTGGTTATTCGATCGATCTTATTGTTACATGAGATATTACCAGCAGTGAAATTTTGGGAGAATTTGTGTGATTTATTTTCTAACCATTTAGCATAGAAGGAAATAAACACACTAGAAAGGATGGTGATTATGAAAAAGTTGTTGTAAAGTTTTGTTCTTCGTTCCTATTCCTTGTTTCTTCTTTTTGTGATATGCCGCTCTGTCATTGTTTGATTTTTAGTTGTCTGATCACACTCAAAATTATGTATCGTATTAGCTTGGTAGTTTTGTAGCATGTTGTTTTGGGCGTTTTCTGGGAAAGAAGGAAATGATAGATAGCAAATGATATATGTCCTATCTCATGTGATTATTGAAATCATTCTTTCCTCTAAGCTTCTTCCTCCTATGATGTCAAATGGGCGGATTGAACTAAATTTGAAAATGTTAAAATGGGAGGATCAATGACCCATTTAAATGTTACTTGCTGATTGAGATAAGTTAAAAAGTGAGTCATAATTTAATCCGTTCAATTTTTGTCAAGTTTTAAATTCAAAGTTTGATTTCTTATAATTTATTTGAATACCTAGTAATTAAAAAAAAAATTGTTATATTACGACTATATGAAATATATCACATTCTTTCTTGTAAGCTTCTTCTTCGGAGGATGTCAAATGGGCGGATTGAACGAAATTTGAAAATGTTAAAAAGGGCCGATCAATGACCCATTTAAATGTTACTAGTTGATTGAGATAAGTTAAAAAGTGAGTAATAATTTAAGGAAATTTTTTCAAAACAACAATATTTTATCTTTTAGTGGGACTCCTTAGCAATAGTTTCATTATTTATTAAAAATGTTATTATTTTAGTTTGCTAATGGATTAGTTATGTATTTATTTTATTTTGATTAATTTGAAAGAATACAAAAATTAATAACTAGAAAAGAGTCATGGAACGAAAAAAATTCAAAAAAGGTAAAAAAAGGTTTTAAATACAAATCAGTTACCTTTTGAAAAAATTATAAATCTCCTTCTTTCTGTAGAGGCTTTTTTTTCTTTCTTTTTAAGAACATCAAAAAAATTTTAAAAAATAATTTAGTTTGTCTTCCGAATCATTCATCTTATAACTTTCAAAGATTCTTCAAGTTGAATACGGCATATTTTTTGAAATGGAATTTTTCAAAATTGAGGACTATAAATTTGTCGCATCCAGTGAACAATCGAAAAACAATAAGGTATTTTTTTTCGATCTTTTTTCTTGTTTGGATGAGATATTCGCATATATCAAGTATAATTGTTGTTTTTTTCCTGATTAAATCAGTGAAATCTTTGTATGTATTGGGATTTATAGTTTTTTACGGATGTTTTGTAATATAGGGATACAAGCATAATAATTCTAGACAGCGTACAACTATGGAGTAAAAAACATCAACTAATTAGTGGTTGTATACAGATTTTTGTTGACTTGTAGTGATTGCTGGATACAATTAAGTATTGGATACAATTAAGTTGTATTCAAACTAAAATGTATTTATATTCAATTTGTTATATTATTATTATTTCACTGAAAATATTGTTTTCGAAAAACAATAGAATAAGTTGTATTAAAAAAATTGTATTTATATTACAATATCCAGTTTTGTTATTTTATTAGTATTTTCACTTTAAAATTGTAGTAACTATTTTTCTAGCTCAGTTTGTATTCCAAAAAATAATTATGTATTTCAATATCATTTTGTATTTCAAACGCAAAAATGAATACAAATAAGTTTGTATCCTTTCTTAATTCGTATTTATATGTAATGATTAGATTATATTGGGATACAATCAGTAACATTTTTGTAATAAATAAAAGAAAAATATATTTGACAGTTATGTAATACAATTTTGATCACTCGGATACAATTTTTAGTTTTCACTATGAAAATAAAATATCAGTTTTAAGTTTTAATTTGAATGGTAAAGTGAGCACATAAAATGCAAAAGTTGTTGGTATACTATTAAGATGAAAACATAATAAAAAAAGAAAGTTTCAGTTTTGAAGAACACCGATTATATCGAAGTTCGAGTTGGGAATTCTTCTTCCAAAGTTATTTGTCAATGAAATTTTAATAATTTATATTTCATTTGGCATACTTATTAGAATGAATACAAACTAATAAAGAAATATAAATGTCATTATACAAACCCAAACATGAAAATCATAATGAATACAAATACACATATCATACATATTGGAATGAATACAATTTAGAAAAGGATATACAATTCTGAAAAAAATACATTACGCTATGAAAGAAATAAATGAATACAAATATGATTCTTCAAGAACTACAGATCAATTTGACATACAATTTAGCATTCATATTGGAATGAATCTCGTATTGTACATAGCCTTTGCCTCAAATGAATCTCGTATTTTCAAAAATAATTTGTATTTATAGAAAGGGATGACATATATAAAAAGAAACTGAGGGATTATTTAATAATAAGGGTAAAATAAACACAAAATGTAAATTATCTCTTAATTTTTTAAATTGAATTGTTGGACAACTTTGGTTAATATAATGAACCATTATTATTAGACGGAGAGTTTATGCTAAATAAACTTCATCCCTATCATAGATTTTATGAAAATATTCTAGGCCCTAACCTACATAAAGGCAGCATTTCATAAGCGCTAGCTGTCAATATTTAATATCATAGGAGTATTGATTAATAAAAACAATATATTGTCTGTAATGACATTTTTAAAAAAGAAAGCAAAATAATTCTTGGCACGAGCAGTAAGATTGGTGATTGCCTAGTAATATTCAATAGTCATATTGATGACCATTTTTAATTTACATTATTTTCTTTTAATTTACCAAATAAGCCTTGAAATATTATTTTTAAATTGATAAAAGAATCTTGAAATAATGTCATTTAAAAACTCAATTGTTAACAAAGAAATAACATTTGAAAGGTCAAAGGAGGATCTTACCATGTGACCTTTTTAAAATATTTTGAAAATCAAGTTTCACCTCACGTATTATCATCGAAAAGAAATTTCATTTATTTATTTTACTATTTCTCATCGAAGCAAATGGACAATCGGTGGTCTAAAGGATCCTTAGTTGAAGGCTAAATTCATATCTCACTCCGCTGTGTTAAAAGATTGAGCTTTAATTTGTTACCAATTTTGAATTCGACAACTATTAGGTTATAGGTAAAGTCTAATCTTACTCCTTTTTACCTATCGAAATTGCAATAAATCTCTAAATTCGATGCAACTAGAAGTAAAGAAACTTCATGTAATTAGTCAATGAAAAAGATAATCAAATCTCGTCCTTAAGGGACATATAATAGCAACATATGTAGCTATACTACGAAGAATTTAATATCGATTTGGTCAAGCTTTCAAATTTTAATTATATTTAAAGTACTTTTCTTTGTATATTTCTAGAGTTCAATATTTTAAAAGTGTGATATTATACTCTCAACAAATCAATACGGTCTATCAATAAATAGTCGTTCACCAAAACAATATTTGATTGTTTATATAATTTTATGTATATAATTAGTTCATTATTCTTTTAAATGGACTAAAAATAAAAAATAAAATAGTATATCTTTTTTATATATATTTGACTAGCGGTCATAATTGTGAAAGTGTAATATATAGATTAGGCTGAAAAGAAGGAACTAAAAAAACGGTTAATCTCTACTACTTTTGCTATAATCACGCATCAACAGCCATTCTTATCCCTTTTCACTTAAGCTTTTTGTTAAGCTTTTCTCTCCCATTAATTAATCCTCTTTAATTATTTTCACTAAATTGATGCATTTGCCAAAAAATGTGTGAATTGCTCTGACTTTAATTCTTCTTTTATTCTTACGTCTGCAATCTTTATAATTTCCCACCAAAACTATTCTCAAAATTCCATGAAGTGAAAATGTAAGTCTCTTTTTTTCTTTTTCTTTTTGGTTTATGGTATTGTGATCTATTTGTGGTTACTCTTGTTGATTTTGTTAATTACTACCATGTTACTTAGGGGTCGTTTGATTGCTGGATAAGAAACAAGTTATCCATGTATTAATTTATGCGATGTTTGATAGGTAGATAGAAAATAAGTTAGTCATGTATAAAATTAATAGCATATAAGATGTTTGGTTTCTATAACTAAAACACGTATAAGATATGAGAGAATGTGTATATTATATTATGTAGTATAGAAGGTGAAACTAATCTCTACATTACTAATCGCATAATTCTAACCGGCTACCAAATGACCATCTTACAATTGAAGTATAAAAGATTACGAATAATAAATTTGATCTTCTGTACAAATTTGTGATATTGAATAGTTTTAGCCTATGATCAATAATCTCTGGAGAAATGTTCAATCTCTTAAGTTTCTTAGCTCTAAACATATTGTACTAGAGAATTTTCTGAATTTAATAATTGTCAAAATTTAGTGTTTTTTCACATATATATTGTTCAAAAATGTTGGTACTTTCTACCAAAATTGCTTGCTAAGAAGCCAAATTCAATCATATTCAGAATACTAGATTCAATTTGCCAGTGTTTCACCATATTTAATCCCTGAGGATTCTTAAACTTGTATAAAGTTGAACAAGTAGACATATGTGTTTGACCAATTTGCATCCTAGGTGGCGTCCTACTTGGCTAGCTAATAAGTGTCCTACGTGGCATCTATGTGTATTATGTCACGTAGGATACATGTGTCTTGTTCAACCCGTGAAGATTTCTTTAGATGTAACAAAGTACATAATTTGTTGTTCTGTTTTTCATGTTATGCAATCACCTAACATGTTCTTTTCTATCATTTTGTAACAGTGTATTGAAATAGCAACAAAAAATAAGGATGTCGTCCGAACCAGCTCCTTATGTACCCAAAAATGTCCTCATAACGGGTGCAGCAGGCTTCATTCCCTCTCATGTAACCAATAGATTGACCAAACTATATCCTAACTACAGGATTGTTGCTCTTGACAAGCTCGATTATTGTTCGAGTCTAAAGAATTTGGAGCCAAGTTACTCATGTCCGAATTTCAAATTTGTCAAGGCTGATATAACGAGTGCTGATCTTATCAACCATCTTTTGGTTGAGGAGAAGATTGACACAATTATGCATTTTGCAGCACAGACTCATGTGGATAATTCATTTGGAAATTCATTCGAGTTCACCATCAATAATATTTATGGTACTCATGTGCTTCTCGAGGCTTGTAAGTTGACGAAATCCATCAAAAGATTCATTCATGTTAGTACGGATGAAGTTTATGGCGAAACTGATTTGGAGACTGACATTGGCAATCCTGAAGCTTCTCAACTCCTTCCTACTAATCCATATTCCGCGACTAAAGCTGGAGCTGAAATGCTTGTCATGGCTTATAATAGGTCTTATGGCCTACCAACAATCACTACTCGAGGGAATAACGTGTATGGCCCAAATCAGTTCCCTGAGAAGTTGATTCCAAAGTTCATTATTCTTGCAATGAAGGGTGAGCGTTTGCCAATTCATGGCGATGGAACAAATGTTAGGAGCTATTTGTACTCTGCTGATGTTGCTGAGGCATTTGATGTGATACTGCATAAAGGGGTAATTGGACATGTGTATAACATTGGCACTAAGAAGGAGAGGGCAGTTTTGGACGTGGCTGCAGACATATGCAAATTATTCGGAAAGAATGCTCAAGAAGTTATCGAGCTTGTCCAAGATAGGCCTTTTAATGACCAAAGGTATTTCCTGGATGATCAAAAGCTTAAGAAGTTAGGGTGGCAAGAAAGGACTACTTGGGAGGCAGGACTAAAGATGACACTCGATTGGTACACCAAAAATCCCGATTGGTGGGGTGATATAACCGGAGCCCTTCACCCACATCCGAGAATTTCAAACATTGTGCCTTCACATGATGAAGGGTGTCTGTTGCAGCTTGTAAAAAGAAGCAACAAAGGTTGTGGCTCAGACTTGAAGTTCTTGATTTACGGAAAAACTGGTTGGATTGGAGGGTTGTTAGGAAAGATTTGTGATGAACGTGGAATATCATACGAGTATGGATTAGGACGACTACAGGATAGGAGTTCTCTAATGCAAGACATTATAAGAGTAAAGCCAACTCATGTTTTCAACGCGGCTGGTGTTACTGGGAGGCCTAATGTGGATTGGTGTGAATCACATAAAGCAGAGACAATTAGAACGAACGTTGCTGGTACACTAACTTTAGCTGATATCTGCAGAGAAGCAGATATCTTAGTGATGAATTTCGCGACAGGTTGCATATTTGAATATGATGAGAGGCATCCATTAGGCTCAGGCATCGGATTCAAAGAGGAAGACAAACCAAATTTTACAGGATCCTTTTACTCGAAGACCAAAGCCATGGTAACTAGTTCATTTTCATTGGCTATTAGTCTTATATTTCACTCACATTTTTGTTTCTCATAGCTTAATATATGCAGGTTGAAGAGCTTCTAAAAGAATATGATAATGTATGCACTCTCCGAGTAAGAATGCCAATATCATCAGACCTTAGTAACCCGAGAAACTTCATCACAAAGATAACGCGTTATGATAAAGTGGTAAACATCCCAAATAGCATGACAGTTCTAGATGAGCTACTACCAATCTCTATTGAAATGGCAAAGAGAAACTGTAGAGGGATATGGAACTTCACTAATCCGGGAGTTGTGAGCCACAACGAGATTCTAGGGATGTATAAAGACTACATCGATCCCAAATTCAAGTGGCAGAATTTCGATCTTCAAGAACAAGCCAAAGTGATCGTTGCACCACGAAGTAACAACGAGCTTGACATGACAAAGCTGAAAAAAGAGTTTCCAGAATTGCTATCAATCAAAGATTCAATCATCAAGTATGTCTTCGGACCTAACAAAAAGACATAAACTTTCAAAAAATTGTATTTTTTCGGATAGTTTTTCTTTTTCTTTTCATCAATCTCACTGTCACAGTTACTTGAGATTGTAGTTTAAGATACATAATGTGATTTAAGAACTTCTAATTTTCCTTTTCTTGATATAAACAAGTTTAATGTATTAACTATTAATGTTGCAAGTATCTAACAATTCTTTTAGAAGTAGCTATGCCTTTTTTTTTTGTTTAAAATTAAAGAATAAAACTTTAGATTAGTACTTGGAAGATTTTTATGTCAATTATGACTAAAGTGACATTCTAAGGGTAAAATTCACGAAAGAATCACTTTTATGATGATGATTTTTATATAAAATGAGTCATAATTTCAAAATCGATAGAAATGTAGCTACTTTTTATGTAAATGTAATATTAAGTTAAAAATACCCTTTAACTTTTTTTTGTTTTGTAGAATTTCAAGACTTTTAATTTTTGTAACTTAAATTCTAAAACAATATCTTGAAGTTCAAAAACTTTCTACTGGTGAAATTTCATGAAAAATTCACAAAGTTTGAGCATTTATCAGTTCTGACTTTATAAATAATAATAATTAAAGTTTGAATAAATTATGCAACAATTATTAGCTCTAAATATTGTCGTAAAATTTTATTTTATAAAGCAATTTTTTTGTTGAGATTTTTAGTAAGTCAATACTAACATTTGATTTTTGAACCTATTGATGTAAAGATAATTTTTTTAAAATAGAAATATATTCTGTTCTTGCAGAAAGAAAAAGTCATTGTGACAAAACAAGTGCGATTAATATTATTTTTAAAAAATAATCATGATAGCACAAGAGAACAAAATATATAGACATTATGTAGCTCTCCTGATTTATTTTATTAAATTAGTACTTGTGAGATTTATATGTTGAGACACACAGTATTACTGACTTAACTGGACACTTTTTACAAATTATTGTGAATATTCAATATGAAGAAATAATAATAATAATAAATTAAGTTAAATGACAATAAGTTTGGTAATTTTTGCGACTAATTAATTTAAGATTTTAAGTGGTATGTGTTGATTAACGGAAGAAGAAGGAGAAAGAAGAAGAACTGATGAAAGGGAAGGGGCTAATTGCAGAGAAAATGTGATCTACATGATTTGGGAAAATATCTTGCTTGCTCATTATGGACTCAGATCTGTTACATTTATACAAAGAAAAGAGAATCAATTTTAACTAACTGTGCACTAACCGACTAACTAATCACACTTCTTTACATAATTAGCTAATAACTAACTAACAAAATTAAGGCACTTTAGTGAATATATCTGCTGGTTCTGTTGAGCACAAATAAGCAGTCGTAATCAATCCATCTTGTATCTTTTCTCTAGTAAAATGGCAGTCAATGTTTAGATGTTTGGTTCTTTCGTGAAATACTGGGTTGGCTGCAATTTGCAAGGCTGACTTGCTATCAGTAAACAAGGGAACTGGAGTGACCAACTCTACACCAAGCTCCTTAAACAAACCAGTTAACCAGACCACCTTAGCAGTTGAGGATGTCATTGCTCTATATTCAGTTTCTGCTGAACTTCTAGAGACAGTCACTTGTTTCTTTGATTCTCAGGATATAGGAGAAGTACTATACTGCACTAGATAACTTGTAATGAACTTGTGACTATTCACACATGATCCCCAATCTGCATCACAAAAGACTTGTAATTGTGCCCCCTTCTTTGCTGACATTAACATCCCCAAACCTAGTGCATGTTTGAGATACTTCACTACCCTTATTGTTGCCTCCATATGAGTAGTCTTGGGTAAGGGCATGAATTGACTAAGACATTGGACTGCAAATGCTATATCCGGTCTAGTAGTAGTTAGGTATAACAACCTCTCAATCAACCTTTGATACTCAATGGGGTCTTTTAGGGGTTTGTCTTCATGTGTAGGAACCACATGTTGGTAAAAAAATAAGGTAGTAAGCTTCTGATTCATCTCCATAGGTGTTGCATTCCAAGGAAATACTTGACCTCTCCTAAGTATTTCATTTTGAAAGCTTTGTGCAGTGTTTCCTTAGTCTCATGGAGCATGACTGAATCACTGCCTGTTAATAATAAGTCGTCCATATATACCAAGACTATGACTATGTTCCCATTCTCCTTCTTTGTAAATATAGAGTAGTCTCTAGTACTTTATTGAAAACCTGCTCCTACTAGTGCTGAGGTCAATTTGATGTTCCATTGCCTAGAGGCCTGCTTCAAACCATACAAAGATTTTAATAATCTGCACACCTTCCCATTGTTAGCCTTAGTCCTTTTTATACCATCTGGAATAGTCATGAACACTTCTTCAAATAAATCACCTTGAAGAAAAGCATTGTAAACATCCATTTGGTACATGATCCACTGTTTAGATGTAGCAAGTGACACCACTGTTCTCACAATTACTATTTTAACAACTAGTGAGAAGGTCTCCTGATAATCTAATCCTTCCTTCTGATTGTATCCCTTGGCTACTAACCTTGCCTTGAACCTTTCAATTTCTCCATCTGCCCTGTACTTAATCTTGTACACCTACCTACATCATATGGGTTTCTTGTCTTTTGGAAGTGTAACAAGCTCCCAAGTACTGTTATCTTCCCAGGCCTCTAACTCAGCTTGCATGGCCTGTTCCCACCTTAGATCACTAGTTGCTTCTGCATAGCTCTTTGGTTCCACATATACTGAGAGTTTTAAAAGAAAACTTTGATACTTTGCTAACAATCCTGAATAGTTTACACTTGATGCAATTGAGTACAAACATTTAGATGAACCAGCTCTTGTTACATAGTCTTTATGCCAAATAGGTGGCCTAAAATTTCTGGTGGAATGTCTCATAGGCAAAGCTGCAGTATTTGAGGGAAGTATAGGTGGTGTTGTAGATGTTGACTCATTGATTTCTTCAGCTACCTCTGGTACATGATGAACAGGGGAACTCTCAGTCTATAGTTGAGTCTGAACTTCTAAGCTATTCTGACCAGTCAACTCATCATAGCATAATAAATCTTGTGATTTCGCACTACTTTGTTGAACTGGCATCTGATCCTTGAAAGGAAATATAGTTTTCATGAATGTGGCATCCCTGCTGATAAAGAACAACCTATTTTCAAGATCATACAATTTATAACCTTTTTGTGAAGCACTATACCCAATCAATACAACTTTAATGGCTCTTGGTTTGAACTTATCTTTCTGAGTTAGACAAGTAGCAAAGCAAAGACACCCTATCACTCTCATGTGAAGCAATGAGGGAACTTTGTTGTATAACAACTCAAAGGGTGATTTATTTTGCAAAATAATGGAAGGCATCCTGTTCAACACATACACAACAGTCTCTACACACATCCCCCAAAATCTATTAGGCAAACCACTTTGAAATTTGATTGCTCTTGCAGTTTCTAGTATGTGTCTATGTCTCATTTCTACTACACCATTTTGTTGTAGTGTATACGGGAAGGAGCTTTGATGGACAATACCATACTTTAGGAACAACTCCTTACAACTATGATTAAAAAACTCAGCCCCATTGTCTGACCTTACCACTTTAACTTTTCTGTCAAATTGAGTAGCTACTTGAAGCAAAAAATTATTCAACAAAGTAAGAACATTAGACTTAAGCCTCATAAAAAAAATTCATGTCCATCTAAAAAAGTCATCAACAATAGTCAAGAAGTATCTCATACCATCGTGTGTTTCCACTCTATATGGTCCCCAAACATCCATATACAACAATTGAAAAGTAAAAGTAGCCTTATTAATGCTATGTGAAAATGGAAGTCTATCTTGCTTTGCAAGAGGGCAAACTTCACAATTATTCACAACAAAAGATTTACAACCAGAAAACAGAGGTATTTTTCTCAAAACACTCATGGGAACATGAAATAATCGATGATGCCATGTTACTGCATCAGCTCTTGATGGTGTTGTTACAACTAAACACTTGTTTATTCTTGCTTCATTGCTTCCTAATTTTGAATGTAAAATGTATAGTCCATCATCTTCTCTACTAGTCCCCCTCACTTTCCCAGATGTGAGGTCCTGAAATACACAATAGTGTGGAAAGAAAGTTGCACTATAGTTTAATTCTTTTGTCATTTTTGAGACTGAAATAAGATTAAACTAGAAGGCTGGCACACAAAGGACATTTTTCAGTACACCACCTTCTCCCAAATGATAATCACCAATGTGAGAAACCTGAAGCACCGGTTGGCAATTGAACTTGTCTTGCATTCCCATTTCCTACCAAACCTGTACTTTGTAAGTGGTTATGACATCCTAACATGTGATTGGAAGCTCATGTGTCAACTATCCACCTTACAGAAGTATCATGATTAGGAGAAAGAATACTTGTCATGTTAGCACAACCACTTGCAAGGGAAGTAAGTGGAACTTTGCATAAAGTGAAGATCGCTGGGTGAGTAGAAATGAATTGTTTTACCTAAATAGTAAGATTTCATTTTATTTGTTTCCCCCCCTCCCAAAAAAAAAGAGACTTATTGGAAATATGCTTGGTTGTTGACCAAGAAAGAAAGAACTGCTCCATGGATCTTCAATGTGAGAACTATTTAGCATGTCAATCAACTTTTGATGTTGTTGTGGTGTGAATTGTAGTTGGTTATTATAGTGAGAAACGAGCTGTTGTTGTGGGTGATAAGAATAAGGACCTGCAATATTGGAAAAACAATGGGTGTCATCTAGAACAGGACATGTCACTACATTTGTTGTCTTTTTGCCCTTGTAGTCTGCTGGATATCCCTTGAGTCTATAGCAATCAATTTTAAGATGCCCAGTGTTGTGGCAATGGTCGCACTTTATTAGCTTAAAACAATCAACTTTCAAGTGCCCTTTCATATGGCAATGATCACAATATGCATTTGGATTGTAAGTTTTTTTTGCCTTGGTGTAGATCTAGTGTTTCTCTTGGTGAACATAGTTGTTGGACTCATATTTTCATGCACTGTGTTATTAGATTCTGCAACAATTCTCT